TTCTTCTTGTTTTGAACTGATCTTTAAAAACGTTTAAGCTTATGTACATATCTCGATATTTCGTTTTAATAAACAATTTATTTTTCAGAAAAAGTGTTACAAAAATATTATTTGTACCTTATGCTTTGCCAGACCATGATGCCTACACAGATGTGGTTAGAAATGCCTTATCACCTTGGGGTTATGAAGTGGAAGGTATCCACACCAAACCCAATGCAGTTGAAGCTATTGCCTCAGCTCAAGCTATATTTGTGGGCGGTGGTAATTCATTTGTTCTATTAAAAACTTTATACGATCTAAATCTTGTAGAAGCTATAAAAGAACAAACATTAAATAAAGGCACTCCATATATGGGGAGTAGTGCAGGCACTAACGTTGCTACACGTTCAATAAATACCACAAACGATATGCCTATGGCTTATCCTCCCACATTTGAGGCCTTAAATTTAGTACCTTTTAATATAAATCCCCATTATTTGGAAACTGATCCAAATACTGAACATAAAGGTGAGACCAGGGATCAACGTTTGGAAGAATTTTTACTTATTCATAAAAGGCCGGTGTTGGGTTTACGTGAGGGTACTGCTGTTCTTGTAGAAGGTGATAAAGCTACTTTGATTGGTGACAGAAGAGCGAAGTTGTTTAGACCGTGAGTATATGTACATGAAAATTATTAGTGGTAATTATATGACATGATCAATTTAGATAAATGCATTTTTAAAATGCAAATCTAATCTACACACTTAAGTACATGAGATCAAATAACCCCTCAATTTGTTCTTTGTTTTATATTTAAAAAAAAGTACATTTTAATACTGGAAATATACTAATATTTTAATCAAAATCAAATAATAAAAACAAACAAGAAGATATAATTTGAGAGGGATAATAAAATCAAATGCTTTCGTTTCATTTTGGTTATATAGAATATTAATAAATATTTACATTTTTTCTTTTCAGTAATTTGGAACCAATTGAATTTGAACCCAACTCAGATTTAAGTTTTTTATTAAATGATTTATAAATGTTTAAACACCAATATTAAAGAGTATCTTCTAAATACATATAACAAATAAACAACAAAGAGTTTTTAAGAAACATATTTTCCTAATTAACTCCTAATATTGTTACTATTGACAGCTTAATATTTATCAAAAATTTAACTGCTCAAAAGTTATACTTTGGCTCAAAATATACATTAATAAAATAGAACATATCAGAATCGTTATTTTAGAAAAAATACCTAAAGAAATATTTAGAATACCTAGATTTTTTATAAAGTTTAGCATTTTCTTACCTTTTTACTTCTTTATCCATATTTAAATACCACCATCATCTATGGTTGGTTCAATTTTGACTTTGGGAGATAAAATTGCTGCAATATTAATTGTGACTCCCTTTTTATTCATATATTCCTTAAAAAATTCTGCATGTTTACGTCATTCGTGACGGTAAATCGATGTGATCCATGTGAAATGTCTAAAATGGGAGAATATATTAGTATTTATTATATTTTTGAGTTGGTTGTATAAATTTTTAATTGCTAAAACATCACCTAAATATTTAATTAAATTTTAATTTTAAGTATTCCTAAAAGTATGCTGTGAAATATAGCATTTAATGTTTAACAGTATGTTAGTTAACACTTGAAACTTGTTTTATATGTGCGTAAAAAAATTATAGACATTTTGATCTTTTATAATAATCGACTCTAGTTCAATATTAGTTCTATTCTAGTTCAGTTCTAGATCAGTTCTAGTTCAATTCTAATTCAGTTCTAGTTCAGGTCTAGTTCACTTCTAGTTCAGTTCTAGTTCAGTTCTAGTTCAGTTCTAGTTCAGTTCTAGTTCAGTTCTAGTTCAGTTCTAGTTCAGTTCTAGTTCAGTTCTAGTTGAGTTCTAGTTCAGTTCTAGTTCAGTTCTAGTTCAGTTCTAGTTCAGTTCTAGTTCAGTTCTAGTTCAGTTCTAGTTCAGTTCTAGTTCAGTTCTAGTTCAGTTCTAGTTCAGTTCTAGTTCATAGTTCTAGTTCAGTTCTAGTTCAGTTCTAGTTCAGTTCTAGTTCAGTTCTAGTTCAGTTCTAGTTCAGTTCTAGTTCAGTTCTAGTTCAGTTCTAGTTCAGTTCTAGTTCAGTTCTAGTTCAGTTCTAGTTCAGTTCTAGTTCAGTTCTAGTTCAGTTCTAGTTCAGTTCTAGTTCAGTTCTAGTTCAGTTCTAGTTCAGTTCTAGTTCAGTTCTAGTTCAGTTCTAGTTCAGTTCTAGTTCAGTTCTAGTTCAGTTCTAGTTCAGTTCTAGTTCAGTTCTAGTTCAGTTCTAGTTCAGTTCTAGTTCAGTTCTAGTTCAGTTCTAGTTCAGTTCTAGTTCAGTTCTAGTTCAGTTCTAGTTCAGTTCTAGTTCAGTTCTAGTTCAGTTCTAGTTCAGTTTCTAGTTCAGTTCTAGTTCAGTTCTAGTTCAGTTCTAGTTCAGTTCTAGTTCAGTTCTAGTTCTAGTTCAGTTCTAGTTCAGTTCTAGTTCAGTTCTAGTTTCTAGTTCAGTTCTAGTTCAGTTCTAGTTCAGTTCTAGTTCAGTTCTAGTTCAGTTCTAGTTCAGTTCTAGTTCAGTTCTAGTTCAGTTCTAGTTCAGTTCTAGTTCTAGTTCAGTTCTAGTTCAGTTCTAGTTCAGTTCAGTTCTAGTTCAGTTCTAGTTCAGTTCTAGTTCAGTTCTAGTTCAGTTCTAGTTCAGTTCTAGTTCAGTTCTAGTTCAGTTCTAGTTCAGTTCTAGTTCAGTTCTAGTTCAGTTCTAGTTCAGTTCTAGTTCAGTTCTAGTTCAGTTCTAGTTCAGTTCTAGTTCAGTTCTAGTTCAGTTCTAGTTCAGTTCTAGTTCAGTTCTAGTTCAGTTCTAGTTCAGTTCTAGTTCAGTTCTAGTTCAGTTCTAGTTCAGTTCTAGTTCAGTTCTAGTTCAGTTCTAGTTCAGTTCTAGTTCAGTTCTAGTTCAGTTCTAGTTCAGTTCTTGTTCAGTTCTAGTTCAGTTCTAGTTCAGTTCTAGTTCAGTTCTAATTCAGTTCTAGTTCAGTTCTAGTTCAGTTCTAGTTCAGTTCTAGTTCAGTTCTAGTTCAGTTCTAGTTCAGTTCTAGTTCAGTTCTAGTTCAGTTCTAGTTCTAGTTCAGTTCTAGTTCAGTTCTAGTTCAGTTCTAGTTCAGTTCTAGTTCAGTTCTAGTTCAGTTCTAGTTCAGTTCTAGTTCAGTTCTAGTTCAGTTCTAGTTCAGTTCTAGTTCAGTTCTAGTTCAGTTCTAGTTCAGTTCTAGTTCTAGTTCAACATGCATCCATGTTGAAAGTAAATGAGTAATTCTGGAATATTGTCCGTAGGATTGATTTATTCGTCATTATGAGAGTTTAATCATTAATTACATTAATGTTTTCTGTAATTACTAATATTAAATCAACTACCTGAAGGGGCCTTGTATTAATTCAAGTGTCAATTATGGATACATCCGCATGAAATTTAAGAATGATACTACGGTTCTTATATGATGTATATATGACGAGTTTCCTCACTATTAACATTAACTTTTTAATGGAGCCATTTTAAATGCCAAACAAACCTCATCATTTAAGAATATTTGTGGAAAATTTATGACATTTATCTCCTCTTGTTCGGACAAAAAATTGCGCATTTCCAATGCTAAATAAACTTTATCTAGCTTCGCCCGTTCGTGCACTGTGTTTCAAAAACCAAACCGACAGACATTGCTAGGACATTATAAACTCTGTTAATAATAAAAAGTAATTTAATTAACACTCACTGCGAAATAATTTTAAAATTATCGTAATTTTCTAATGTATTTACACATTTCTATAAAAAAATCACATTTCTTTGCAAAAAAAAAAATCAAAACCATAAAAATAGATTAAAATCAATTGAAAAAATAAAATAATGCACACAATATTCTGGCGATCTTTTACTTCAAATGAAAAATGTGCCTAAAAACTGATTTTATTTTGCCTTTCACTAATAAAAAACAACTTTTTTTTAAATTGATAAGAATTTAGTAATCTGATAGAAGCGTTAAACAAATAATAGGTGTGTTTGCGTATTTTACGGTAAAAAATTTAATTTGCTTCCAATCATAAATATGTATATTCAAAAAATTCGTGTACTTTTAATTTATGATAAGTTATAATTGATAACTAAAATTTAAATAAATCGAATTAAAAATCTTGTTTTATGTTTGTCTATTATTCTAAATGTTAAGGCATCATTTATCTGCGGTTTCATGTTACTTGGAGGTCTTATACCGTCTATTGCAGAAATAGAGAAAAAATTTCCGCTGAAAACAAGAGTTTCTCTGGTACAACTGAGTTTGGTATCGGGAAGAACGATTTTTTGGTATAAGTTAAAAATAAATTAAAATTAAAAAAATACAAAAAAAATATAAACAAGTAAGAAAGTATAGTCGGGCGTGGCCGACCATATGATACCCTACACCAGTTATGAATATTAAATGTGATTTATTTTTCATAATAAAGCATTTATCTTCAATATTCCCTTGTTCCGATGCATTTAAGCAATTTATGGATGAAAAACTAATTTTCTGAAAGAGGCTTTATATGGGGGCTAGGGGCAAATATGGACCAAGCCCGATAACATTTTGTGAATATATTTATATTTACATAATATTTTATTGTGCTGAATTTAATCGCGATATTTGTGTTTATAAGTTATTATAAGTTAATTTGGGACATTCAAGTAATTTTCTGAAGGGGACTTTGTATGGGAGCTAGGGTCAATTGGGGCCCGATCTTTATGAAATTTGGCAGGGTCATCAAGACTTTTATAAAACTTAGTTGTGCCGTATTTTATCGATATATCTGTATATTTAACATAATTATGAGCTCAGAAGCCCTTTTCGGGGGGTTCTGTTCTATGGGGGCTAGGTGAAATAATGGACCGATTTTAACCATTTTCAATAGGCTTCGTCCTTGGGTCAAATAAAACGTGCGTGCCAAATTTCATCCAATTATCTTGAAAATTGCGACCTGTACCTTGCGCACAAGGTTTACATGGACAGCCAGCCAGCCAGACGGACGGACATAGCTTAATCGACTCAGAAAACGATTCTAAGCCGATTGGTATACTTTAAGGTGGGTCTAGGACGAATATTTTTGTATGTTAAAAACATCATCACAAATCCAATATACCCTCCCCAATAAAGTGGTGTAGGGTATAAAAACTATAGCGAACGGAAGACAAAACAAATTGAAATTAAAACAAATTCCAAAAATTAAAAAAAATACAAGGGTGAAGAGTATAAAATATTCGACATTGCCGAATTTAGCACTATTACTTGTTTTTTCCAACACTGTTTATATTTTTGTGGATCTACGACCTATTTTTCGATGTGGACATAAAAACTGTTGTTGCTATGGTTGTTCTTTAATATTTATCTACAAGAGTAGGAACAAAATAACAGATTGATTAAAGATATTTTAGTGTATTGGTATTTAAAACCTGATAATTCGTTTAATAAATTTACAACAGTAATCTTAAATTAGTTATGTTGTATTAAATGAAAGTATTTTTAAAAATGACTGCTGAACGTTCGGTTCTATTAATTTCCTCATCGCGAGTTTATGGTTATGGTTATTTCGAACATGAAAAAGAAGTAATTTTAAATTTTTTTAACAAGTAAGTTTGATAGTTAATATACAATAACTAAAATATAATAATATGTATATTTTACAGGAGAAATGTTACAAAAATTTTATTTATACCTTATGCTATGCCCAACCATGACGCCTACACAAAAGTGATTGGCAATGCCTTAGAACCCTGGGGTTTTCAACTCGAGGGTATTCACACCAAACCCAATCCCATTGAAGCTATTTTATCAGCTCAAGCTATATTTGTGGGTGGTGGTAATACTTTTGTTCTATTAAAAACTCTATACGATTTGAATCTTGTAGAGCCCATAAGAGAACAAGTTTTAAAAAAAGGCATTCCATTTATGGGCAGTAGTGCTGGCACCAATATTGCTGCACGTACTATAAATACCATCAACGATATGCCTTTGGCTTATCCTCCCTCTTTTGAGGCCTTGAATTTAGTACCTTTTAATATTAATCCCCATTATGAGGAAACTGATCCAAATAGCAAACATAGAGGTGAGACTAGAGATGAACGTTTGAAAGAGTTTTTAATTTTTCATAAAAGGCTGGTGTTGGCTTTACGTGAGGGAACTGCTCTTCTTGTAGAAGGCGATAAAATTACTTTGGTTGGTGACAAAAAAGCAAAGTTATTTAGACCGTGAGTATACATGAAAATCATTAGTTCAAAAGTTTTTTTAATTGCAAATCTAATCTACATACTTGTGTACATTAGATCAACTGTCCCCTCAGAATATAGTTTTTTTCTTTGTTTTATATTTAGAAAGAGTACCATTTATCATTCAAGAGGGATACTAAAATCAGTTGCTTTTTTTCATTTAGATTATATAAAAAAATTATAACGACTTTTACTTCTTCTTTACAGTGACATGGAACCAATCGAATTTGAACCCAACTCAGACTTAAGCTTTTTATTAAATGAATTGTAAATATTTAAAGACCTACATATGTATAACAAAATGTGTCTTCCAAATATAACAAATAAACAAGAATGATTTTTTAAGACAAATAAAATACTTCCAAAGTTTATTTCTTATGCATATTGCCACTATTGGCAGCTAAATATTTGTCAAAAAGATAATTGCCCAAATCACATTCGGAACGTTCAATTTGTCGTATAAAATCAGCCAACTGTTTGATGGCATCAACTTGTTCTTGAAGAAAATTTGCCTCAATAAAATCACACATATTAGGATCGTTATTTTTAGATGCAATAGCATGGGCTTCTAAAAGAGCCTACAGAAATATTTATAATAACCAGACTTTGGACACTTTTATTAAATTTAAAGTTTGTCTTACCTCATTAACCTCCTTTTCCATGTTTAAGGCCTCCATCATGGCATCTTTGGCTGTTTCAATTTTCGCTTTGGGAGCTTCTAATGCTTCAACTTTAATAGTGCCTCCCCTTTTATTCATATATTCCATGAACATTTCTGCATGTTTACGCTCTTCATGACTGGCTTCATTTAAAAATTTAAAAACTCCTGGTGCCGCCACTTCGCTGCGATCGAAGTGAAAGGCCTAATATAGAAATATGTATGTATGTTTTATTGTTGTGGTAATATTTTGTTTATAAAAATAAATTAAATAGATCCCACCATAGCCAAATAATGATGACATGCTTTTAATTCCATATTAATTTGTTTATTAATAGCTTTTTCACATTCTTTTGAGAAATTTTCTCTAACTAACAGACACAATAATCGTCTAAAATTTTGTTGAGCTAAAGAAGTCATAGTTAAAAAAAATAATAATTTATTGAAATTGTTTATAAGAAATGAAACGATTTGAAATCGAAAAAAGGGTGCTTTGTATTTATTTATAAAATATTTTCATTATTTATAAAATTCCACATTTTTTATACAATACCATGGTGAAATAATTTTGACATGCTTTAGTTCCATATTATTTTGCTCACTTAAGAGCTTCTTACATTATTTGAAAATATTGTATATTCCCTATAAACCATAGAACGGTATTACTATATGTGAAGGCGATCATATTTCATCAAAAATATTAAACCAAAGATTACAACATTATGCCCACATAATTAAAACTCTCTGCGCATATTAGAACTCGGCTGTCAAAATCTTATCATTATGTATTAATAATATTTACACAAAATCATAAAATTTTGAAATTTTTTTTTTTTTTTAAATTTTATATACTAAACACTGGGACAATTTATTATTTTTTTCTGCAAATGATTAGATAGTAAAATTTTTTTTAATATTTTGTTTATTTTAAATTTGTCTAATAAAAAATATGTATTACTATTGTCAAGGATACGTTATCTTTTAAATTATGGTAGCGAATTCGAAAACGATATCAGTTTTGACAATATTTTTCACCCAGTTATGATTAATTTTATCACCCGTTTCTAGTCCAGTACTAGTACAAATCAAATCCAGTTCTAGTTCAGATCTAATTCAATTCTAGTTCAGTTCTAGTTTAGTTCTAGTTCAATTCTAGTTTAGTTCTAATTCAGTTCCAGTTCAGTTCTAGTTCAATTCTAGTTCAGTTCTAGATCAGTTCTAGTTCAGTTTTAGTTCAGTTCTAGTTCAGTTTTAATTCAGTTCTAGTTGAGTTCTAGTTCTGTTCCAGTTCAGTTCTAGTTCAGGTCTAGTTAAATTTTAGTTCAGTTTCAGTTCAGTTCTAGATCAGTTCTAGTTCAATTCTAGTTCAGTTCTAGTTCAGTTTAATTCAGTTTTAGTTCAGTTTAAATTCAGTTCTAGTTCAGTTCCAGTTCAGTTCTAGTTCAGTTCTAGTTCAGTTCTAATTCAATTCTAGTTCAGTTCTAGTTCAGTTTTAATTCAGTTCTAGTTCAGTTTTAGTTCAGTTTTAATTCAGTTTTAATTCAGTTCTAGTTCAGTTCTAGTTCAGTTCTAGTTCAGTTCTAGTACAGTTCTAGTACAGTTCTAGTTCAGTTCTAGTTCAGTTCTAGTACAGTTCTAGTACAGTTCTAGTTCAGTTCTAGTTCAATTCTAGTTCAGTTCCAGTTTAGTTCTAGTTCAATTCTAGTTCAGTTCCAGTTTAGTTTTAGTTCAATTCTGGTTCAGTTCTAGATCAATCTAGTTCAGTTCTAGTTCGGTTTTAATTCAGTTTTAATTCAGTTCTAGTTCAGTTCTAGTACTGTTCTAGTTCAGTTCTTGTTCAGTTCTAGTACAGTTCTAGTTCAGTTCTAGTTCAGTTCTAGTTCAGTTCTAGTTCAGTTCTAGTTCAGTTCTAGTTCAGTTCTAGTTCAGTTCTAATTCAGTTCTAGTTCAGCTCCAGTTCTGTTTTAGTTCTAGTAAATTCTAGTTCAGTTCCAGTTCAGTTCTAGATCAATCTAGTTCAGTTCTAGTTCGGTTTTAATTCAGTTTTAATTCAGTTCTAGTTCAATTCTAGTTCAGTTCTAGATCAGTTCTAGTTCAGTTTTAGTTCAGTTCTAGTTCAGTTCTAGTTCAGTTCTAGTTCAGTTCTAGTTCAGTTCTAGTTCAGTTCTAGTTCAGTTCTAGTTCAGTTCTAGTTCAGTTCTAGTTCAGTTCTAGTTCAGTTCTAGTTCAGTTCTAGTTCAGTTCTAGTTCAGTTCTAGTTCAGTTCTAGTTCAGTTCTAGTTCAGTTCTAATTCAGTTCTAGTTCAGCTCCAGTTCTGTTTTAGTTCTAGTAAATTCTAGTTCAGTTCCAGTTCAGTTCTAGTTCAATTCTAGTTCAGTTCTAGTACAGTTCTAGTTCAATTCTAGTTCACTTCTAGTTCAGTTCTAGTTCAGTTCTAGTTCAGTTCTAGTTTAGTTCTAGTTCAGTTCTAGTTCAGTTCTAGTACAGTTCTAGTTCAATTCTAGTTCAGTTCTAGTTTAGTTCTAGTTCTAGTTCAGTTCTAGTTCAGTTCTAGTTCAGTTCTAGTTCAGTTCTAGTTCACTTCTAGTTCAGTTCTAGTTCAGTTCTATTTCAATTCTAATTCAGTTTTAGTTTGCTTCTAGTTCAATTCTTGTTCAGTTTGTTTTAGTTTGCTTCTAGTTCAGTTCTTGTTCAGTGTTAGTTAGTTTTAATAATTTTTCAATTTGATACAAATTTGAACTACGAAACTAACGTAAAATGTCATAACATTGGATTTAAATGGGTTGCTTTCATATTTATGTGAATGCAATTTGGATATTTTTAAGCACAGTAACTTGGCTTAAACAGAACTAATAACTGAATGTAAAACTATTTTGACAATATTATTAATAGGTTTGGTGAATCTACGGTCAGACATTAAAATATGTATATTTTATTGAGAACATAAATAAATTACTTAAATTAAAAGCAAAACACATTTTTGAACTTGTAATTTAATTTTCTTAATATAACTGAATTGTCACTAAATTTATACACGTATCTATGAGGACACAATATAAAAATTATTAAAGCACGTTACACTTGCTAATTTGCACTTATAGTTGGTAAAAAATTTTAAACTTCAATAAACTGAGATCACAATAAACTTTAACTTAATTTAAGAATACTACCTGTCACGTTAAATAAGATCACTAGGTGATAATTGTGATTCACCTTCAGCTAAATACATGCGCATAGCTTTGAATAGTAATGCTATACCCAAATATTTTTTCTCTTTCATAGTCCAAGTCTTAGAGGGGCCATAGTAATCGCCACGTTTACAATTTGTTAAATGTTGTATACCTAAAGCATCTATAATAGCCGCTTCCCGAGTAAAAGCATCTACGGGCAAAATGTTGTGGAAAACATTAAGGCAAACAACACCTTTGCCATTTGCCCAAATATTTAAAATGCGATCAATTTTTTTACTATCTAATTTCTTTTGGGGTGGCGATTTAAATATTTCAACATTTAAAGGTTGTTTTTTAACTGATGAGGAATTATTTAAGGAAATATATATAGTTTTTTAATTTCGTAAAAAATAATATAATAACAAATCTAGTTGACTTACTTGATATCTTTTTTCCATTTTTATCAGTTTCTACTGGCGCATTCTTATTATGTAAACGAGAATGTATCTTCATAGCATCATATAAATGGGAATAGGGTCGTGATGTTTTACCTTTGCCCACATAGAAGATAGATTTTAAAAATCTTTGCCAAACATCAAATTCATTTAAAAACTAAAAGAATAAGAGTTCAAATATAAGTAAGTCATAAGTATAAGATGACAAATCTAATCATACATACCACACTTTCTCCTGGCAAATTACACGATATACGTGGATCTATTAACATGTATATGAAACTTTGTTTTAAATGCCCCTCTCGCATTTGTTTTTTATTTATATTACCCTCAAAATATTCCATAGACTGTGTTTCATATTTTATATAGTCTTTTATACGTTGAAAATTCTCCTCAGACTTTAGTGTTCTCTCCAGTTCAACTGAAAATTCTGTAAATTTAATTTCTTTTATTAGATATTTGTATTATCTTTCAATTTACTATTTACAATTTACAATTTAAACTATTATTGTTAAGTTTGGTACTGTATTTTTACGATCTTAAATATTTCCTATTAGTTATTTTAATATATGTTGTTCTTATAAAATTGGTTTCAAAAAAGTCTCAATAAATATAACTATAAACTATAAACTATTATCTTTCAATGTTAAGAGCACAACTTTTAGAAGATTTCTTATGAAGCTTAGAAAAACATCTCAGTGAGTTTGAATTTTGATGGGTGATTTTAATAAGAAAATTTAGAAATAACATCTTTAAAAAATTTTAATGTAAACAGCAATTTAAAATATTTTATAAATAAAAATATTTTAAATTTAATGAGTTTAATACTCCGCCAACACACTTCAAAGTTAAAAAATAAAAATAAATTCAATTTTGAAGTTTTGCTTAAATAAAAAGATTCAATTCATCGTATAATATAATAATATTTTATGATTCACAGAAATGCCACGCCCATATACAAAATATGCATTAAAATTCGTATATATGAAAAACTTCAATAGAGTCCTAAAATTTTGAACTGACGACTTTGATTCTTATATAAACATTTTAAGAAAAAAAATGGGCATACTATAATTAGCGGGCGTGGCACCTACCATATTAGTAAAATACTAAATTTTGTATATCTAGGAAACCATTACAGCTAGATTTCTCAAATTTTCACATACGTATAAACATTTGAAAAAAAAAAATATGCAGACTAGCATTAGTTGGCGTGTCATCTCCCATATTAATCAATTACTAAAATTTTTTATATGGGAAACTTTAAAAGCAAGAGTGACCAAATTTTGTACTAATAACGTAAGTATCAATATGAATTTTTATGGGAAAAATGGGCTGTCGAAAATCAGTGGGAGTGACATAACTCTTATAAATCAAATATTAAAATTTGGGAATATATAACAGTTATAGTACTTAAATTCTGGCATTGATATGAACAGTTAGGGGAAAATTGGCGAACTATCAATAGTGGGCGTGGCATCGTATCTTAAGAATAATAATATTTAGAGCATGGAGGTAACAAATATAGTGGGCGTGGCAAATCCCACATGAATTAGATTTAGAATTAGATTTATCTGGGAAATTACCACATTTTGGACAAGTAACTTTAATATCAATATAAATATTTAAAACTAAAAACACCACTGTAGTCAGCCTTCTAAATTATATTTAAACTCGGTCAGTTTAAAAATTTTAGGTTAGGTAGGTTAGGTATTAAGGTCAGCTGTTAGAAAAGCAGCTTACTTGGGTCCATTAAATTGGCCCCTTGTGGTCGCCTTGATAATTTTCTCCCAAATGATAAGATGCAGATATTGCTTTTATATCTTTTACATCTGGAAAATATGCGCTTATATATGCACTAAAAATGAGGAAATATGCACTAAAATGTGAAAAATATGCATCAAAAAATATTTCCTTGTCAAATTTAAATAAAATTTAAGTTGTTATCACTAATATTTCTTTATCGTATTTAAGTGCATATGTATTTATAGATATTTAGAACTTAAGTTTTTAACGACAAATATATATCGTCACCTGAAACGCAAACCGCCCTAACTAAACAAAAATTCGAAATCGATTTTATTGTTGATTCTAATGTATGTATTGCATCAAAACAAATGTCCACAACAAAAATTGGACTCCTACGACCAACATTATCGATTATATTGACAAAAACTACTAAAACATATGAATATTGAAGGTAAAAAAATGTATCCATTTTTATATACGCCACTGTCAACTATGATAACAAATGATAGGTTTTACTATTAAACAATTTGTTTATTTACTGCAAATAAATCGCGTTGATATAAACAAACTTTTCGATTTTAATAGTTTTTGCTTCTCCTGTATAATTTTAAAAATGTTAGATAGGGTCGTTTGCGTTTTAGGTGACGAAATGTTCTTGATGACAGAGCTACCACTTTGTGTACTCTAATACCAATTTAACGGAAACACGATCTCGAAAAGCCTAAGGAACATCTTTAAATAGTATATATTTTATTTCTGAAAGTAGGAAAGCTTACTAGCTTCGTTCAAACAACGAACATGCGCTTATTAACACGAGAAAGTATAGTCGGGTGGTATAGCGACCATGTGATACCTTACACCAATTACTAGTATATTTAATATTAGCGTATTTAAATAGAATGCTTATATGGACATGCTCAGAGCCGAAAGTTTAAGGTTGGGTATAGTACCAACATTTTTGGACGTTAAAATCATCAGCACAAACGATTAATTCCCTTCCCACCAAAGAGTGTAGGTTTTAAAAAAATAACTAAAACTATGTAAATTTCAATGGAACCCAGTATTTTGTTGTTAAGTCGACACTTTTTATATTCAACCCTATTGTGCATTTCGATTACGTTTCTGCATTCAGTTACGCTAGGATCGGAAATAGGTATTCCAACAAAAAAACGAAATCGTAAGAAAAAAAAGAAGCAATAACGTTAACACTCAATGGTAGCAACATCAATTATTTTTTGCTGGGTAATTGACAAAAACAACAACAAAATGTAATTTTCTAGGCTTTGAAAAGATTTTGTAATGAGTATATCCGGCATTATTCGAAATAACTTTGAAAATTCGAGGTGATAAAGAGTTATAAAGATTCTTAATTCATGTAAAGGAAATTCCGGCTTAAGCTTTTTGAATTCCTTCAATTTAAGCATTTTTTTGTGTCTGTCCGAGTTGTACACTTTATGAGAAAGATTTTTCGAAACATTTTTAATAATAAATAGGTGGGAAGAATAGAGGGCATTCAAAAATAGTTTTGTATTATAATCCATCCTTTTACAGCCCTGGCGGTATGAATTGCTACATTATCCACAGCAACGGTTGAAAGAAAGAAAATTTGAAAAAGCTGTTTCCAGTAGGACTTTGCAATAAATTAAAACTTTTATTTGTAGAGCATTTTTTTAGACCATATTTTTAGTTTTTACTGCATATTTAAGGCTCTTAAACGCTTTTTAGAGCAGTCTGAAATCGGCCAATTTTTTTCACCAAATTTATGTGATTTTGGACAGTTTTCAAAAACGCTTAAATTTTGTTATTTTCTTCTTTAGTTAATGTCATACCGCGAATTATTTTTAAAAAATATTTTGGATATATTCACAGGCACTAGGATATGATTTTGATTTTACTCGCTGCCAATAGTAGACGTTTTTTTTTATGTTATCGATAATACATTCTTATAGATTTTAAAGAATGTCGTTGAGTTAATAAAATGAAGAATAATTCAATATATTTAGAATCGAATAAAAAAGACTGTGTTAACAACACTTTTTTATCATAATAAAAAAATGTATTCTTTGATAAAAAAAAAAAAAACAATAAACTAAAGCAAACCATAACATATGATCGACGAATGAATCATACTAAATAAATTATTAGTTTTTAAAGAAATTAAATATTAATATATTAAAGATATATATAAAGTACTTACTAATTTCATTTTCTTTGGTATGCGGAATATTTGTAGTGTGCCGTTTACATTTTATCAATTTTTTAATATATAATTTTTTGGTAGTTTTTGTTATGGGTCCCGGGGGTTCACCAAATGCTGTTAGTTCGGCTCTTAGGGCATCTGTATCATAATCCAGAGGTATAGTTAAATTTGTTGATTGACTAGTCATTGTACTATCCAAATCTCGACCAGGAGTCTTTGGTGTACTAAAGAATAAGATTAATAATAGTAATATTATTAATAGAGAAAGCGGTAATAGAGACCAGTAAGCCGCTTCATAAAAATTCATAATATTTTAAACTTTACAAATGTACATATTAATAAAAGTAGTAACAAACTCAACAAAAATTATAAACAAAAAAAGCGTGCGCTTTTATTTAAAGAAGTTTTACTACTAAACATTTCTTTAATTAATGTTTCACTAATATTTGTATAAAATAGAATTTATTGGAATTTTATGTTTTGGTTCAATATACAATAGAAAAGAAATAAGATTACTTGAGAACAGTAACAAAATAAATTGGAAAATTTTTAATGGATAATCAGTCTTATATTGTATTGTGTTAAGAACGTTTTTTTAAAAAACTAAAGATTTTTTTACAATCTTAATCAGAATAAATGAAAAAAACCCAACAACTTAAATAAAAATTTTTGAATAATGAAACGAATTACTGTGAAATTTACAAATCTAAAATACAGTTTGTGAGTTTAAAAACTTACCAATGTTTTCTCTGTTGTGCCTGTTTATTGCCCAGATTACTAAGTAATTTTGTTTCGTAGAATACCAAACCATTTTCATCGTCTGTATGAACATAAGCTTCTGTCATTTGCAAATAATACTCATTATTTTTGGGTGAACGTATAAAGTTTGTGGTGGTATTATGTTCTTTTGCCTCCTGCTGGTGATTATCATCTGGAGAGGCAATCACAATTTCTGGTACTGTTTGATAACTACTTTCCAAATCGGCATTTTGTTGTGAAGGCGAAGGTGTGTCCGGCATTTGTAAATGATTTTCTTCGAAATCTTGTTCTTTAGCTTCAGCTACAGTTTGTATTAATTTACTTAAACTCATTTGAGGCTTTGTTGGGCTTTTCCTTTCTGGCATCACTTTGTTAGTTTCATGTTTTTTATTATATGTAGGTAAATTATGATATTCAGTTGTATCTATTAGAGAAGATGAGGTTGAAGCACAAGCTCCACTATCTACCTCAATATCTGGTAGTTGTTTAGTGTCTTTAAGGGGAGATTTTTCTTTTAATTCTGTATTTGTAAAATTTAAATGATCATTTTCGACCACTTGATCTATCATTTCTACAATATCATCGAATTGTTTGAGTATAGATTGGCGGGCACGAGATTTTTGCACTTTCTCCCTCCAAGTTTCAATTAAAGATAAACGTGATCTTTCACAAGAGGCAGTACGTTGGGTAAGTTCTTTTAGATTTTCTTGTGTTAAAGAGAAAATATTTACAGGTTCTGAAGGCTCTGGCGAAGACAAATTAACATTTTGCATTGATATCGATAAGACATCCTCAATAGAATGTCTTTCTTCCCTAAGCTCTGTTTCTTCAGTGTCCTGTGGCGGAAGATCTGGAAATTTTGGCTGTGGTTTGTGTCTTCTATGGGTAATATTTATATAATAAGGTGAGGTTACATCATAATTGTAATTAATACGATTTGGTGTATATTTATTGTTTTCGCTGCCTTGACCAAAAGATTCATCTAAAGAACTTGTAACTTTTAAAAGATTTTTATTTTTTGCCATCGCTGGCTCATCCTTTTTATTTGGTGTGCGCTGTGGTGTTGAAGATGATGTTGCTTTATTATTTAAAGCTCTTTGATGTAAAGAATTTTCAAATCTTGATTCTGTGAGAATAGTTGTATTGTTAGCCTTTTTCTTTTCGTATTTTTTGAGAAAAATATGATCTTTCATTATTTGCACCACCTCAAAGTTACACTCATCTATGGCATATAAAACGGGTGTTTTACGATCATTATCATATACCTCCAATTCGGCACCATGTTCCTAAATATTGGTAAAAAAAAAGTAATTGTTCTTAAAGCTAACTAGTTCAATGGAAGTTTATTAAAAAATATTAATATTTTAATAAAAGTTGACCCAAAGCTAAATCATTAAATCTCCATAATGAAACAACTGATCTATTTTGGCATCTCTCGGAAAATTCCAATATTTTTAGTAGAATTTGTTTGGACGTGAAAAACAATTAACTTACCAATAATAAACGTACTATTTCCTCTCTTCCATACATGGCAGCCACATGCAAAGGAGTCATATTATCTTCACTACGACAATTTGGATCAACTAAAAACATTGATTGTTTATTACTCTTTCTAATGACTTTCTTAATATGGAAAACACTTACCTCCCATGCTTAGGAAACGTTTTGTAACATCTATAGCCAATTGTTTATTCTGCATGCCGCAGACATAGTGCAGCGGTGCTATGCCCCGGTCTTGGGGAACATAAGAAGGATCAATTGCTTTACTATTGCGCTCCAATATGAAATTAATATCACTTTAAAGAATATATTTGTTACTAAGACGGTATATATTTAAAATATTTAAATCTATCTACCTTTCATTTTCATCCTCTAAGGCGTCTAATAGGATCAACGATAAATAATTAGTTCTTTGATCCATGATTAATTGAAGACTTGAATAGGTATACTTTTAAAGGAATATTAATAAAAACACTTTACACTTATTTATTTAAAAAGTAATAAACCCTTTTAATTCCATATTATTAATTGTTTTTTTATTTGCGCGTCCTTTTTGCTATTTTTAATATATTTTTTTATAAATGCATGTTCAAAATGTTTGCATTGTTTAAAGTAATACTATTAACAGAAGAGGGCGCTAATGATAGTAAGTATAAAAGGTGGCAGGCAGAATGATGCCAGATTACAATATAACTTTCAGTAGAATTAGTGATGCCACTATGTAATATTCATTTTGGCAGCGATCTTCGACCGATCTACAAAAAGTCGATTTTCCATTTTTTTGATTTATTAAAAGTCACTTTTTCGAAAACGTATATCGTATTTACCGTGATAATATCGTAAAACGAAATATAAAAATTTCAATTCGAATAAAAATATGTTATTATTATATTAAAAACCACATTATTGTATATTTGAAGTCAAATTTGTATGATCATTTCTAGATGTTGATGTATAGGTAAATGGATGTTTCAATATTATAAATCAACTGATAACACATCGGTTGTTATACTAATATGCAAAATAAATTTGACTTTCGACCTTTATTAAAGTGTCTATATACAGTGTCTCTCATAAGTATTCGAATTTAGGTAAACTATGAAAAGAAACCAAATTTAATAATATATTTTGTGTGCAAAAAAAAAATTAGTTTGTTATATTGTCTAGACAGTCCTTAGGTTTGATATCACGCTTTTTAAAACTTGAAAAATTTAGATTTACTTAAATTAAATTAGCTTTTTTTAAAAAAGTCCATAAAATTGCCTCACAAAAGTATACGAATTTTTCCTGTTGTTCATATTTGAGCATATTATACGAAACACAAATTTTAGAATCGACTGGTTTTTATGCTTTAAATTGTTTAAAGGGGTTACTATCAACCGAAATGATATATTTTTGGCCCATTTAGTCCACAATTTTTGGGTATTTGTACCCTCTTTTTATGTAATACCATTATAATGGCGATTTTTAGCAATATTTGTAGTATTTTCTCTTTTTTTCCAGAGATAAGACCAAAGTTTGATATTGGGATTTAATAGACCCCTTGCAGTATCTAAAAATAGCATTTTTTGTTACAAGAATCTGTATTTAAACGATCCAAGATATATTATTGATATCATTATTCTGTGGCTAATTCAATATATTGGAACTTAAGTCCATTTTCATAATACTAGGGTCAAAAATTTTCGGGGAAAGTTTTCTTGTATATATTCTTTTAGATATCAGCTTTTATATATTTTAAGTTTTCAATGCATTGTGGAAGTGTACAACTCCAAAACATGCCTCGAAGAAACACCATTCAATGGTAGTATCATTATTTTTATATACCAATGACCTCCAGGCTACATGCCACTATATCATTATGGTCTAACTCAAAAATATCGATATCTGTTTAAATATTGATTACTATGATTAAAATAAACCCAAAATTTTGGACTTACATTATTATTGTAATGGGCAACATAAGTGTGAAAGTTACGAATAGTAAAAACTCAAATCTACTGTATAGGATAACGTTTTGTTAAGGCATGTTTTGGAGTTGTATACCGATAAAATGTATTGAAAATTTAAAATATATTAGAGCTAATATGTACATGAATGTATACTAGCCAACTTTGCCGGAAAATATCGACCCTAGTGGTAAGAAAAGGGACTTAAGATCCATACAATTCAATTAGAAACAGAAGAACGATACCAAAAATACATCTTGGAACTTTTAAGTACAGATCCTTATAACAAAAATTATTATTTTTAGATACCTCAAGGGGTCTATTAAATCCCAATATTAAAGTTTGGGTTTATTTCTGAAAAAAACGGAAAAAATGCAAATATCGCCATTTTAATGATATTACATGAAAAGATGCTACAAATACTCCAAAATTGTGGAACAAATGGGCCAAAAATATATAATTTCGGTCGATAGTAACCCCTTAACACAATTTTAAGCAAAAAACCACTCGATTATAATGTTTGTGTTTCGTATAATATGGTCATATATGAAATACAGGAAAAATTCGAATACTTTTGTGAGGCAATTTTATGGACTTGTTTTAAAAAAAGTTAAATCAATTGAGGTAAATGTAATTCTTCCAAATTTTAAAGAGTGTGATATTATACCTTAGGACTCTCTAGACAATATAACAAATTTAATTATTCATTTCACAAACAAAAAATATTATTTAATTATGTTTCTTTTAAAAGTACAACCAAATTCGAATACTTATGTGAGACACTGTAAAGCAAATAATACCTTTAGTTTAAATTACAAATAAAACTTTTTGTATTTATTTAATAGTCACACATATAAACACATTTCATTGAACTTATTTTTTTCGTTTTAATTAACTTAATTTTAATTTCCCGCAACGAAACCCGGTATTGTTTTACTTTCAATAACACTCTTATAATAACGTGCTGAATATTTTGCAATACGTTCTTTACCATCACTAGACATATTCACATAATACAATCCAAACTTTTCGCTAAAAATAAAACCAAAACAAAAAGAAAAAACAAACAAATTAAAATGTGTTAAAACAACACTTACAAACACGCCAACTTTTGGGTGAAGAAGTTAACAATAATAACAATAAATAAGAACAACAACTTACGTATAACCCCGCTGCCATTCAAAATTATCGATTAAACTCCAATGCGTATAGCGTGTTACATTACAGCCCATATTAATGGCATTTAAAACAGCCTGCAAATGAGCCTACAGACACATTATATTTAAAAGGAAAATCTAAATATAGAACTATAACATAATTTTACTATAAAATACCTTGAGGTAGTCTATGCGATCTATATCATCCAACTGGCCTTCGTCGGACCAGCCATTTTCAGTTATAATAACTTCTACATTATTATAATTATTTTTAATCCAACTAAAATTTAGAAATATTAGCATAAGGAATACATTTCATAAAGACTTACTTTAATAAACCCTCAAGACCCTCGGGAACGCAATACAGCCATGAAGATTTTGCTCTCTTCCATTTTGCATCGAGTTCATATTTCAAACGCGAATCATATTGTACAGACGGTTTTTTACCCTGTGGTGGATTAGCTTCCTCCACATAACGTGATGAATAGTAATTTAGTCCCAGAAAGTCTGCAGAATGTTTGATAAGAGATCTCTCCTTTTCAGCTATACTTCTTAGGCGTGACCATGCTCTACCCTCTTTTTGACTATTTCGCGCAACATCGTCCAACATAATGTGTGGATAATTACCGGTATCACCAAACATAGGGTAAGCCAACCAGCCCAACTTATTAACAAAATTGAAAATTAATTTGTTTACGAATAAAAATTATAGATATCTTACCGAATATTGCATAGCACGATCAATTATCGAAGAATTATTAGTTTTAGAAAAATAAAATCGAGTACTTAAAGTCATGCCAATCTTGCCTTTTTGTTTATCGAAAAATTCCTCCCTATATAAACGATAAACTTCAGCATGTGCCTTAAGAGTAGTATCCATACAAATATAATCTGCCACACCGTGATCGTGACCCATGGGTGGATAATTACCATCACCATAACCGGGTATACAATAGTCATAAGGTTCATTAAAAGTAATCCATAACTTGACACGATCACCATAGGTTTCAAACAATAGTTTGGCGTAATTAGTAAAATATTTAACAAGTTCAAGATTGGTAAAACCGCCATAGAGATTGAGGGATTCGGGTAAATCATAATGGAACATAGTAACCAAAGGTTCTATGCCATTTTCTAAAAGCTTATCAATCACCATGTTATAATAATCAATACCTTTTTGATTTTTTGAAGATATATCAGCATTTGGTAGTATACGAGACCAGGATATCGAAAAGCGATAAAAATTTACCTTTATAAAGATTTCAGATTTTAATTTCAAAATTTTATCACTTTTTTATTAATGTATACCTTTAATTCCTTTAAAGCTTCTAAATCTTTGTCAAATTTATGATAAGAATCTGGACCTACATCACCCGTTGAATGATCATCAATCATTTCTGGATGTTGATGTGTAAATGTATCCCATATTGATGGACCACGACCATCTTCATTCCAACCGCCCTCCACTTGATAGGCTGCTGTTGATACACCAAATTTAAAATCTGAGGGGAAATATTTACTACCCGATTTGTGTTGAAGGGCGCATATTTTTTGATCATTTTGACTGTCATTATATGCTGAAACAGTTACTACTAGTAAACTTACTGAAAGTAAACTATACAGAGATTTTATTTAAAAAATTTTCCTACAACTTTGATAAATTCAACATGAACAAAACCTTAATGTTTTTATTGTTTTCCGCGTCATATTTTTCTCCATATGCCACTTTCAAAATGTAAAATAGAACTGTTTTGATTTGTTTTTATTTGATGTCTATTTAGCGAGAGTAAACAACAATCCAATACTACTTGAACTGAAATATCTGCAATCATTTATTCTATTGATAATTTTATTAAATTTATTTGTTTTATTTAAATGACCGAAATACAGATGTGCAGTGTATAAGTAAAAGAGGCAGTATGAAAAGGAATTTGATACAAATTATGTACATATTATACATTATAATATTATTAAGTTGATAGAACCACTTAATTAGTCTCAGTTTAATAAGAAATTTGGTAATTTTTCAAAAATAGGGATTTTTTTTAAATTTTGTGATTTTTATTAAATTTTAAACTATTTTTGGAAATTTTTAACGATTGTTAAAAAACGTGTTGAAATTTTTATTCTGACTATTTAACTTTTTTGTATGTTTGTCACAGAAATCGCAAATAATTTTCCCCCAAAAACGGATTTTTAATTGTTTATTCTCAAATATTTTAATTTGACTTATTTTTTTTTTTTACTTTTAAAAAGGTGTACAAACTTCTGTGTTCTTTACGAATATGTATGTAAGTGAGTTATTAGGAATTGAG